GTACCACCCCCATATCTGTACAGAACTCTTGGTCCATCTTCCGTTTCTGAGATACGACCTCTCTTGCCCTGTTTTTCCATCAATGATCACTTGTTAGTGTCCAGTGCTTATCACTCTTCGAAAACACCTACCACTCATTGGAATTCTAGAAAGCTTAGCGGTTGGAAATGTTTCGATATGATGATATCGACATGAAAATGAAAGCTTTAGCAGCGATGGTAAACAATTTCCTCACAGCAATCTGCTCAGGATCTTGTCATACCTCATTGACGAAAATCTCTCCTTACTGCTTTTTGTCGGAACGTAGGAGTTGAACGATTGAAGTGGCTCTGATTCTGTTGTTTGCGGAAAGGAATGAGACGTGCTTACACACTGACCAGGGAAGTCCGCCAACTTACCATGGAACTTTGAATGGAGACCTGGGTAGATCGATAGTCTATAAGGTTATTTACAAATATAGATAGCAAAACTGCAACCTGCATTTCACAAGCAACTTATGAGCAGGTAAAGTTTGTAATGGTGCAGTAGGGTGGAGGCTTGGTGGTGAGCTGTGAAGCATAAGCGAGGAATCGCATACGTCGAATCGAGTGGTGGTTCAGTGGTAAGGTTCGACGTTCGACGACTCGATTCGACGTATGCGATTCCTCGCTTATGCTTCACAGCTCACCACCAAGCCTCCACCCTACTGCACCATTACAAACTTTACCTGCTCATAAGTTGCTTGTGAAGTGCAGGTTGCAGTTTCAAAATTCTATGGTAAGTTGGCGGACTCCCCTGGTGAGCTTCAGCCCTTTGATACTCGTGCCACATTGTTACTAGTTAGTCGTAAGGAGTGTGAAGAGGCTAAACAGAGACTGACTCTATGAGCCTCTTTCCGTGATTATATTGCTTCCTGTCACCTATGTTCCGTCCCACGCCCTGTCAGTTGTTGAAACCGCATTCCCTTTGTTGCTGAGGCGCGAGTTATGAATTCCGCGGCGCTTGCTCCTAAAGCCGCTTGTCAGTTTTTATCACTTCCTGTCACCCACCAATAATGTTCCCGATCCAGTTCCTGAATTACCTGCTGGGGCTACGCTGCTGTGGCGCGCGTCATAAAGTTGTTATTACTTCCGGTCGCCCACCAATATTATACCTGCCCCACCCCTATATCACTTAATAGTCTGAACCTTCTACGGCTAAATAAAAAGGAAGCTATGAATTTGTGGTCAAACAACCCACACACATGCACCCTCAGTGAATTATGTATAGCGAGATTCGCGTTTTTATTTTCCTAAAAAATGAATTTCAGCTCATCAGCGATCCTAAGAATGCCACTGAACAGGGATATGAAAAGGGTAAGAAGAATAGACGTCGGAGTCATTTAAGACTGAATGAAACATTCGATTATGTCGAGGATGACGAAGGTCGTTCAAAAATTTTTTCTTTCGTTTATCTTTTCAGCGTCAGTGCACACGTAGTTGAAGGAGCCACAGGGTGCCGCCTTTATGTTCCTTTAGCCAAGGTGCGTGCTTAGCTGAGTTCGCTGAGAGATGAGCATTCGCCCGCGGCCTAATCATCGGTATACAGAAACACATTGTGTTGGCGGCATCTGTCCCACCACACCATGTTTGCACTGGGCCTTTTTCTTGACTCGCTCGTGCCTTGACCAGCTAGTGTTCATCTTCGCGACCGGACCGCCGCCCCACAGCGCATCGGATCGCTAAATGTGAAGGTGCCTGCACAATCGCGTAGCCTTTAGGGGGGGGTAAGTGTCTTCGGCCCGTTCGCTGCGAAGCTCTGAAAACGCCTATCGCGCCCTACGCAAATATAGTATTAGTAGCAGTGTTTCGACGTTTAAGCTAAGAATCAGATGCTATTTAGACGAAAAGTCGAAGCCGATATGTATCTCATTTACGCAGCCTAGTCAACGATTACATCAATTGCTGCGTAATCATAAGGTATGAACAAATATTTTAACCAACATTCAGTGCTGCCTCTAAACGTTGCTGATTGGTTTCGTCAGGGCAGAGATCATGCTGTCTGTGAGTTGCCCCGTGACAGTCTTGCGCTGCCTTTTTTAGTTTTCTTTTTCTTTATGGAGTGACGATGCTATGCTCTGTCCTTCCAAAGGCATACAATCTTGCTTGCTGTGGATGCCATGGCGTGTCGGGGCTGAATTGGTGCGGCGCCGACTGATTCTCCATTTATAGTAGAAGTCTGGCAACGACCACTAAATTGTTGAAACGCGCTGCGCCGCTCCAAATATCTAAACTGTCCACGCTCCAACATCCGCGCGATTCAGACTGTAGCTCCTGAGGATGGCTGGGGATAAGCTTATAGGATGGTCCCTATTGGTAGCGGTGCAGGCTGCTCTTGATACGACCACACTATCGCGCCAAGCTGCCCGCCCTCAGCGTCAGTATAAGATGAATTTTATTTAGAATTTGTCCCAGAGTATGAGAGGAAATTTCTTCAGAAATTCTAAGCTTGTAATATATTCAAATGTCATTTTCCATTCAGGTTAATCCAAATATTTGTAGATCCTACGCAACTTAATAATACAATCACTCCACAAGGGAATAGTGCGTCACTCGTTGATGCTTGCCATCGCAAAAGCAGTCGTCAGTCAAAAGATCGACATTCTGGCGGAGATGGTTCGATAAAACACAGCTTTGCATCTTGTCTATAAGCATTCATACCTACTTCAGGTGTCGAATCTCCATGCTCAGAAACAGTCCGTGGACAGACTCCTCGTAGTTCCAGGAAAGCTCGCCGTTCCAGCACTATACACCACTCAGGTAGATCGCGCGTCATACAGTTTATGTAGGGAGAAGGGCGTGGAGCATTACTTCCGATTCGCAGCGAAAGAGGCATCACAAGCGGAGTGACGTACGGAGCATTCGCACCAGGACCCAATCCACTTAATGTGCAGTGTTGCGCCTCAACAACTCTCTGCGCGTTTCAAGTCGACCAGCTTTCTCCCAGTCTGTGTCTGTCAAGTCAACTAGCTAGAAAATATTGCGAGCTATGCCGGAAGTAGTTTTCCTCCTCCCAAAGCGAATGGGAGAGCCTACAAGTACGTAGTTGCGAGAACAGCTAGTGCTGCATACTTCCCTGCCTACCTAGTACGTCCTTACTTGCCCTTCTTCATCTCAACTCTCGCAACTACACATGTTAAAACGCCCCTTTTTGCTGACAGATATGGGTTGTCCTCATCCCTCGGCATGATCCTCTTACAGGCGCTATAGAATGCTCTTTCAGATTTTATCACTGATGGTGAACCTGAAGCAAGTTCACAAGATTTGGACATCTGTTCGGGTAAAGTGCTGTATTCCACGCTGCAGTTGATCACGAAGTAAAGGGAGGGAGAAGGGGTGATACAATAGTGAACTTGTGCTTTTTCAAGCATTAGCCAAACTGTAATCGAGAGCAAAGTCTTGCTAATTATATGAGCATTGACTTTGATCAAGCTTACCATTATGTACACTCCTTATCCCTGAGCCAGAGTAGGCGTGGCATTTGAACATGGCACGGAACTGGTTACTCGTGGAATATTCCAGTCTGGGACAACTGTCATCTTGTTCTGTGTTGGACAGAGACACGACAACAGTTGTGTCAAGATGGAAATATTCCACCAGAAGCATAGACACCTTCAGGTTAAGTTGAAGAATGCAGCCCCGCCTACCCGATCTCAGGGATCTCGAGTATACCTTGAGGCGGGGGTGGTGTAGTGGCAAGTGGCACAGTTACCACGTGCGCGGTCCGGGGTCCGGATCGGCTCCCGTTCAGGCCAACTGGTCGCTCCCACAAGTTATTGTGAAGGCCACACCGCACACTGTAAGCCAGTATGATTCTGAATGGAGGTAGGGTGCATGTCGCATCGCAAAAGGATCGATCAACGGCGAAGGCTTCACCGTTCTTGTCCTCTATCGCTCCTTATGAGTACCTGGTCATAGCCATATCTGTCTGGTGGAACAAGAGCTTTGATCTGACTCTGAAAATAGTGCTTTGGACCTCCCTGTTTGAACCAACCTGTTTCCTTACTTACGGTGTTGGATGGAAGGAGGGGGGGGGGTCGTGTTCACTTTTTGGCCTTCTAGGATTGGTGGGAGTGGTAGTTGACTTTTCGTGATTCTCCTGTTTCACATGTGCTTTTTAACCCCCCCCCCGCCCTCCCGCTCGACGGCTTGATTCGATGAGCTGGGGCAGAGCCCTGCTAATTTCCAATGGTTCAGCTCGTACCACCCCCTCCCCCCCCAGCGAAAAAAAGGGGGGGGGTCGTAGGGACTCGACTAAAATTCCCAACCAATGGTGTGCTCTTGTTCAAATTCAATAATGAGCTTTTCTTATGCGTGCATGATTCGTGTATTTTTCCTTGTTACAGAGTGCTTGGAAAAAGAGAACATGCTACTTTCCGCTCGAAAGGCTGATACAGAAATAGAACATGCTGAAAACTGTCCGGCTAATCCGCATAATCATGTTAGAAGGTAAACTTATACCTCAATCACATGTGTTTTATTGTAACTTAAATTTTTACTATCACAGATTGTTTTTCCAAAGGAACATTTCAGCAAAATATTGACAGCGAACAATACTTGTGACGCAAGCACCATGACTCTAACTCTGCAACGTCCCAAACAATCCAAAAAGTCTAACTCTTCTACGCCCAAGCAATCAAAAATCCCTGTATCGACGACTCCAACTTCAGTGTGCAGAGGACACGGCAGTTTCACAGCTTCGACAATCTCCTCGGCTATAAAGAGTGCCACACAGAAGGTATTTTTCAGAATTTCAAATTTGCAGAGTATTCGTGGAGTATACCATTTATTTTCAGTCAGGCACTTTTCGGACTGAAATGGACAATCTTCAAATCATACAGGACACTCCTTACATCAAACAGTTGATTATCTAGGCCACAGTAGGTACCGCAGCACCCCCCATCCCCTCTAAATCTCGCCTACTTTTCGGTTTGTCTGTTTTTTGTTCTGGACGGGGAGACCCCGGCTCGCAAACTGAAACTCCAGCCTTCCATTCTGAATCATTTCTGAAATTGAGAAATGCTTGTGCTAAGCAGGCGGAACCATCTGTTGCGGCTGAAAAGGTAGAATTTTGAAAAAGACTATGTGTGGCCACGCGGGCAGAGCTCACTGTGCTAGTGTATAAGTGCATGCCTATGAGCACAATCGTTTTATGAAGAATGAATTTGACCTTGAAAAAGTTGTAAAAGTTTGAAACTTACAATACCTTCAGTGAAAAGGAGGGGGGGGAGTCGTAATTGTGTCGGTATATCAATCCTTCTCATTTAGAAATATGGCGACAACAGCAAAAGACAAAAATTCGCGGTGAAAGAATTCACAAAAGAAATTTCGAAAGACCATGGCGGCGCTGAAAAGTGGCGGGAACGTTGGGAGGGGCTTGCAGCAGTACCTAGTGCGTCTGGTTGATCAACTGTCCGATGTAGGGAGTTAGGGAGTGTGTCAATTTGGTTTGGAAAGGGTCCGTTTTAAAATGAGAGTGGTATACTCACTAGAGACTAGCCGGAATGGATACGCATCAGCTCGTACACATTTCATGTGGATACCCACGAGGTGCAAGTTAGAAGCATGTGCCTGCCGCAGATCTGCTCACATGTCTCTGGAGTAGTGCTGATGCGTCATGTTCATACTGGTCCCAGTCAAATCACTCATGAAAGAATTTAAAAATCCTCATCTTTCGGTCCCGCTTTGGTCAAAAGACGAAGAAGCAAGCAAGAAGAATAATGACAAGTCAAAAGGTCGCATTATCTTTGATTTTAGTCTAAAATTCCGTCTCGTAAGAAATCCACAAGGACTATAGTTGAAGGTCTTCCATCGTCATCGCGCTCTATCAAGAAGAATAAAGGGAACGGCAAGTCGAAAAATATTGGTTTTGTTTCCCGTGGGTGGATAGCTGCCTCACTTTATATGGAAATCGCATGATAATTCCTTTTGCAGCAGCACAAAACTTTGCACGTCAACATGCGCGCATGTTTGCAAAAATGGAAACCATCGGTGATATGCACGAAAGAATCGCGCGCCGACATGAGGAAGTTATGCAAGCCGTACCAAATGTGATCAAGGTACGGTACTTCTCGATTCCACTCGATATGTTTCAGATCATTGTAGGTATCAAAAGAGGGTCAGCTGTTGGTTTTTTGCACTGCACTGAAGGGATCATTTAAGTGTTTTTGCCTATTTGCTTGATAGGTTTAGTGAAGGTTCTTTGAGGTCACCTTCCGTAGGCTAATTTTCCCATACGATTTTTAGCACCGAAACGGTAGTACCCGCGATCAAAAGTCATGGGTAGTGGGGTTTGAAAACAACAGTTCATGTGAAATTTAGCTATCAAAAAGGAGAAAAGCAAAAGAGCGTTTTAAACGCACGTAATAATGCCTGTTGTTCGCCCGCAGTAGGGTGCAGTGGTTTTGAGCAGTATGCAAGCATAAGTCCAAGAAACGCACGCTGGACGTGGAAAGAAGAAACAGGTGAAGAAATGGTGGGAAAATACAAATGCGAGCTGAATTGCATTGCTATATAGCGGTAGTAAAATGAAATGAACCGGGTGTAGACCAACTAGCGGGGCCCGATAATCGTGGCAGACGATTGAAGCTCTTACCGAGCACTTTCAAGGGGTGTATTTCGGATGGTACAGCTGATATTAGCACAGCGGTGCATTGGCAGTAATTGCCACCTCCAGTGCGTTTCTGCATTGCATCTTCTGCTCAGGACAACTCGTCCGCACCACTCAAATCCTTATAGATTTTAGATCCTTAGGGATTTTTTATAGCATATACAGAGTTACGTGGACTCTTTGCATTTCGGTGAAGGAGTTTCAAGGCACATTAAGCGATTAGAAGGTTGGAATAGTGATTTGCCTGTGTGGTAACGGGCTCCCCGTCACTGTTGCTCTCTCTTCGACATGAGGATCGACTGACTTACACAACAGATTAATCAGTTAGATAATAGAGTGATTCCAATAATTGAGAATTTGCGCTTAGCCTTGCTTTACCCTCATAAGAGACGTAACACGGTATATAGGCGGTATTCCTAATTTACTATTATACGAAGAATCGTGCCCCAGTTTTGAGATGAACTTGAGCTGTGCCCCAGTTATGAGTTGAACTAGGCATGAAGTTGCGGTAGCTTCTCGGCGCAAGCAGTCGCAATCAGTCGCAACACTGGAAAACATTGGCGCAATCGCACGCGCCCAATCAATCTGACGAAATGAGTCAACAGCTAAGACAAACTAAGTCGCATGCGATGCAGCACCCCGCACTATGAACTACGTCCCCCCTTCCCTTGTGCAAGAAATTCCCATGCATCGCGGAATGTGATCATAAGTTACGCCTTGATAGCACTGTCCTTTCAAACGACGGTTTTACTGTAGCTGGGTACAATGTTTCACTCCTGGGAAATGAAGATCAAAGCATAGGAAATCTCCAGGAGACATATACTTCACTTTTTTAGCGTCTTGCTACGCCGAAATCGGTTCACAGAGACAGTGCACGAACACGTGATACACTCACGAAGAAGCCTGGGTGAGAAGTTTTCGCGAAACATTTTGAATATGCTTATGTTTAGATGGTCTTATTTATCCTCTCCCTAATCCTGTCACGTTTTTTAGTTATATGTTCGACGCTTCAAAAGCCAAAGTATCTGTGACTGAGAACTCCTTCAGATTTGGAAAAGTTGACGACTTTCCTGCAGCGCACAAGCAGGTGAGCTTCTTGGTCAATTTATGATGCAAGTGTGTGGCGCCTGCTATTTCATGGTTATACAGCGCTGCGTGCGCGTTGGGCTCTGCTGCAAATGCCAGGGCCGAATGCACTCGCATGGAATAGGTTCCAGGGCACAAGTCGGTGTGAGGTTTTAGAAGCTGATGTGGTAGAGGGGAGGGTGTATTGAAGATATTTCTATCATTGTATTTAATAAATTAGTATTTGCTAGAAATGCAGAGTGGAAATGATTTCATTTCAGGGCACTTCGGGCACAGTTGTCAATTCATTCACTCTGAAAACAGCTAAACCGCAAGATCGTGTAAGTTATGCAGAGTTCTTCTTAACCTGATTAAAAGGATGTTCATATTTGCGAGTTGGGTAGAGAATCGTGGTTCAGAATCAACTCATATTTATTGTAGAGAGATGTGAAGTCACGAACTAAAGATAACAGCAAACAAAGGACTGCCAAGCGATTGATTTCTGTTACGGTGCCAACAGACAAGGAATCTATTAACGTACTAGCTACACCAAAAGGATTGACTCCCAGTAGACGTAGGCTTGAACGTTGTGCACCCAAATTTCGTTGATACGTTTCACAGAGTCTACATTTTCCAGCTCGAGGAAAAGTATCATATACGCCTCATCGTGGTGTCGTAACCTTCATTGACACCACCAAACTCTCTGATCGTGAATTTGAACTCGCGGTCGCTAACGGATTGATCAAGGGGAGAAGTGGGAGGTAAGGTTATTTCCAATCTGGTAAGCTCGACCGTCAGCACTTTACACAAATTTTGAAACAGTTATTGTAGCTCAAAGTTATTGCTTCATTACATCCTAGGTCGTCGATGCGCTTGGAAGCGAGCCGCAAAGCCAGCAGGGACGATATTCTGGATGTTAAAAGAAAGCTCAACATTGTTCAATGATTATTCGCTCTTCACATACAATGTATACATACTTACCAAAGTTACGATGTATTTTTCGACTAGTTTACTAGAGGTTCTTCTCACC